AAAAAAAAAAGGTGATTTTATGTTATTTCAAAATCAATATGGTGATCTTGGCTAGTAAGTAAGTCGTCCTATGTTTTTTTTAATAATGAAAAATTTTTGAAAAATCTTTTTCTTTTCATAGTTCATCTTGGGAAGTATGTGAAAAACATAAATAAATAAACAAAATATTTCTCTAAAATGTATATTTTTTTTTTCATAAAACAAATAAAATAGTTTCCACAATTGATTGTTCGTGATGCATCAATGATTAATGATAGTTGTGGACGAAATTTTCCTTGGTATGGATCAAAAAATCAAGGTAAAACAAAGAGAACTAAATATTCAGTTAGTAAAATAAATGAAATCGTCAGTAAGTTACATAATAATAAGATCAGTAAATAAAATTTACTAACGGTCAATTAAATCAATGAGTAAGTGTAGAAATTGAAATGTATTATAGTGTGACTCACTTTTTTTTTGTTCATTTCCTTGTACTATGTAGTACAGATGCTATGTACGATACACACAGGAATATCCCGAACGGGTGACCCTCAGCGAAACTGAACGAGTTTATTCATTTTTTTGCTTATCAATCTGCGCAACAAGGGTCGACTCTCGTTTCAATGAACTCTACCTTCTCAGTAGTCGCCCTTCTCCCTTCCTCCAATCTTGGTGATCTCGGAACATACATGTAAATACTCTTTGCTTCTATCTTTTCTTCTAACTTCAGCTTAGTGTTCACGAGTAAAAAAGAAAATAAACTATTGGATTGACAAGACTACATTTTGATAAATTTGATGAAGCGGAAGCATCTATTGCAAATGAATAGTCAAAATATTATTACGAACTATACAGAAAAATGGGAGAACAGTTTATTACAGATGTAACAAAGTCTAGCATGATAGTGGAAAAAGTTACTGTCTGTAAAATTAAAGGTGAGCATGATGATTATAAGGGTGTGTAAATGTAAAGTGAAAACCCATCCGAACGTACATCCATACTGTATGTTATAGAGAAAATTCTACTGTATTGTTTGGTTACTGCTATTTATAATATAATAAACTGATTATTTGTATATGTTATTACTGATCACTTAAATCACAGCTTACAAGAAAACTCAAATTATTTTTATGCATTTATTTACGTTTAAATTTAACATTTAGTAGTGACAATTCAAGGTCCAATCTATCGACAATCTGAATATACAATAAGTATGCGTGATTTATTTGTACCATGGATTCCATGGTAAATTAAAACAACGAACAAAATAAAAATAAAAAAACTAAACAATAGATTTTATTTTGTTTTTTGTTTCTCTTAAGGGATATTCCAACATGTGAAGGTGAACAATCATATTTAACACATATTTATCGACATCAACGATTTTATGTATGGTTATGTGCAATGAATTGTACGAAAAATGAATTATTAATAATTCGAACAATACGTTGGACACAAACAATTGAAATTGATGTTAAACCTGATCTTTATCGTGGAATGCGAGCTAAACTAATAAGTAATCCTGAACCAGATCAACCTGTTTTTCTTAAAAGAAATATATTTATTCCATCTTGTGCTTTACAAGGACCATCAGTAAAATAATTAGTTATTTAT